TCCTGAAAACCTACTCTCAAGGTGGGAGGACTGGAAAAATAGTTTGGAAAAGCTCAAATCAGTCATAGTACCCAGATGTTACCATCCACCAGAACTAAAGGACATCATTAAAGTGAAGTTGCATCACTTTTCTGCTGCCAGTAGCATTGGCTATGGGGCATGTACCTACATTAGGTTCAAAAGTGATGACAACAAAGTACACTGTAGTCTGGTCATGGCTAAAGCTGGAGTCGCACCTACCAAAGTTACAAGCATCCCACGATTAGCACTATCAGCTGCAGTCATCTCTGCCCAAATCAGTGTAATGATAAAATCAGAGCTTGAGATGCACATTGATGAGGAGTTCTTTTGGACAGACTCCCAAGTTGTTCTAGCTTATACAGTGGGGCAAAAAAGAATTTAGTCAGCCACCAATAGTGCAAGTTCTCCCACTTAAAAGATGAGAGAGGCCGGTAATTTTCATCATAGATATACCTCAACAATGAGAGACAAAATGAGAAAAAAAAATTCAGAAAATCACATTGTCTGATTTTTAAAGACTTTATTTGCAAAATATGGTGGAAAATAAGTATTTGGTCAGTTACAAACAAGCAAGATTTCTGGCTCTCACAGACCTGTAACTTCTTCTGTAAGAGGCTCGTCTGTCCTCCACTCGTTACCTTCATTAATGGCACCGGTTTGAACCCGTTATCAGTATAAAAGACACCTGTCCACAACCTCAAACAGTCACACTCTAAACTCCACCACGGCCAAAGCTAGAGAGCTGTCAAAGGACACCCGAAACAAAATTATAGACCTGCACCAGGCTGGGAAGTCTGAATCTGCAATAGGTAAACAGCTTGGTGTGAAGAAATCAACTGTGGGATCAATTATTAGAAAATGGAAAACATACAAGACCACTGATATCTTCCTCGATCTGGGGCTCCACGCAAGATCTCACCCCATGGGGTCAAAATGATCACAAGAACGGCGAGTAAAAATCCCAGAACCACACGGGGGAACCTAGTGAATGACCTGCAGAGAGCTGGGACCAAAGTAACAAAGGCTACCATCACCACTACGCCGCCAGGGACTCAAATCCTGCAGTGCCAGACGTGTCCCCCTGCTTAAGCCAGTACATGTCAAGGCCCGTCTCAAGTTTGCTAGAGAGCATTTGGATAATCCAGACGATGACTGGGAGAATATCATCTGGTCAGATGAAACCAAAATAGAACTTTTTGGTAAAAACTCTACTCGTCGTGTTTGGAGGAGAGAGAATGCTGAGTTGCATCCAAAGAACACCATACCTACAATGAAGCATGGGGGTGGAAACATCATGCTAAGGGACCAGGACAACTGATCCGTGTGAAGGAAAGAATGAATGGGGCCATGTATTATCAAATTTTGAGTTGTTAAAGTGAGGAAGATTTGTCCCCTTCAAAGTAAGGGCGGTAGCGCCCCGGGGCCTCCTCACACGGTTCTTTTCCTGGGAGCAAGTTATTTACTACTCTTAACTCAAACTCGTTAAAACCATATAAAAAGGACTATAAAAACAGGAGTAAAAAAGTAACAGAGTTTATTCCAAATCAGATCGTTACAGGACAGAGAAAAATGCTTCGAGCTATGCACAGCTGTGGTCTCAAAAATCACGTCCGCAAGCGTCCGGCAAAGTTTGAGCCCCGATGAAGGTCATCCCCTGCTTCTTATACCTTGTGAGTCTATGTGTTGTATCATGTGGATGCTTAGCTGTCCGTATCAGAAACTGACACGCCATCCATGTCTTGAACTCCATGCAGGTTGCCTCTCTGTCTCAGGGTTACAGATACAGCAGCTCTCCTATCAGACCGGCTCCAAGATGTGCCCATATTCTGTGTACTCTTAGAGACACGAAGGCTGTCTTGATTAGATGACCTCCGTACACACCACGACATCCACAATGTGAAGGAAGGCCTTCTGCTCTGTCTAATCTGACTAACAAATTAACAGTGCACATGATGTATAAATAATAAAACCTAACAACTCCCCCTGATAAGTTACCGTTTTTACAGGTAACTTAAAAACACAAGAAGCGACACATCTTTGAAGGACCGGGTGACCCAGAGAGCATCTATAATTAGTCATGTATCATTAATTAGGGATCAAAAGTAATCACAATCAAAGCTTCACAGACCAAATGTTCTCACTCAAGACCACAGTTTCAGCATTTAACTACAATTTGGGTGTCATCTAATTAAAGGAAAGCTGTTTTAGTTTCCTATGCTCACATTATTTTAAGTTACCTTAGACTAGATAACCTAAGCCTATAAATCTAATAAGGCCAAATTCATCTACTCTCACTCCCACCTGGAGGCCTCCTAAATGTGACCGCTCCTCATGGATAAACCATCTATCCAACTTTACCAACCAGTCAGTCACAGTAGGGGACGTCGCAGGACAGGTTGGGCCGTTCTCCACCGGAAAACGCTACCCTCTCTAAAAGGTAGTAAAAACCGGGGTGACCCCGGGGAAATCCCACTCTCGGCCAATCTGAGCAAGAAAACCCCGTTTTGAATCTGAAAATTACCATTACCAACTACTTAAAGAACCTGTAAGGTTCAGAGTCTTCCTACATCAAAGAAAAAGTGGCATAAAACGTGATCTTGGTGGGTCTGGAGCAAAATGTTTCCATGATTTTCATCAAAACCAAATCAAAATAAATCAAAACATATACATCACAATTAGGTAAAATAAAGAATTATCCTGGTCCGAGTTAAAAACAAATGATGAAATATCACTGATGATGATGGATTCTTTCAGTGTCTCTATCACTCATCAATCTAATTAATCAATCAGAGTCTCGTATGGCCTCCTCCACAGCCACTTTGGTCTCCATGCAGTCCAATGGCAGATAGATGCTGAATCCATGAGGTGGTTCTCATCACAGTTCATCAATCCTTTCCTCCGGGATCCCTTCGACACACAGAGAGTGCAGTCAGTGTTCTTATCACGATAAACAATGTCTTCAATGAGCAATTCTTTATTCACTCAAAATCTAAGTGCAGTCACAACCAGATATTCTTATCCACAATTACTTTCCCTTTATCCCTTAAATCCCCATTAAATTTACAACATTTAAATTAATTACCCATGGACTCTGTGTTTTTTCAGCAGATTATTTCAGTGTCTATTCAAAAAAAACAAAAAAATAAAAATAAATAAAAAAGAAATCCCCAAAAACATTAAACATTTAACATAACCTACCTTTCAATGCCTGGCAGTTGAAAGTTATTTATACCAGTATGTATTCAGCCTGAACATCCTATGGATGGTTCAGCTCATCATTTTAGTTCATATAAGCTCAAAATCACTGCAACTAATATAATCTAATTCAAGGAACCTGTAAATATTTAGAAAACATTTAACCCTTTTTTACACATTGTAACACTCAATTCATGGATTAAATAAATGAATTTTAAAACCATTTCTACATCATAGCATATTAAGTTTTAGTTTCGTCTAAACTTGTAACTGCATTTTAGTTTACTGCTACACCCTCCCCAGAAAATTATTAGAAGTTCTTTAATCTCTAACCCAGCTTGGCGCAGATTGGCGCAGATTCCCCCTATTAAAAACTCCCCCACCAGACCTTGTATCCGTGAATGTTAGTGCATGAAAGAAAAACCCCATTCCCATGTGGATCCTTGTGTTCTTCGAGTCATTAACCGTGTGTGGGCGTTTTGTTACGTGACAGTATGTGTGTGTGTCTATGTGAGTGGATCTATACGTGGGAAACTGGTCAGGAGCCATCCCGCTACTGGTTTGGAAGAAAAAGTTTTTCTTGGAGCAGTGATCCTCTCCAACATGCAAAAAAGTTTGATGTTCGGACAAGTCCATCAGGTTTCCCTCTGTTACCACAGCAGCTTCGAACCATAAGAGTCTTGGGGCCATGTGTCCCCACACCCCCTGAAGGATAAGTCTTTATCTGTGTCATCAGCAGTATCACATAGAGGTAGAAGGAAACAGTGCGTCAAAGGTGTTCCTCCCTTCAAGAGGAAATGTCATATTGAAATGTTCATCTGCTCAGAGCACAGGATTGTACTCTGACTTGCTGCTGCGTTCCCAAAACTCAGCAGTACACAGTTCCTGAAGGTGTTGAATTCGACTGCACCCCCTCTATGCAAAGTGTCCAGCTATAGTCCATTTAAAATATTCTCCAAAAAGCAGTGCTCCGATGAGAAAAAACAAATAAAACAAAAACAAAGAACAAAGAACAAAATAGAAACAAGAAAAAAGAAAATCTGTTCCAACATCCCCAGAACCAGTCAATAGTTGTCATATCTGGACCCCTGACCAGATCCAAAAATGTGCAGGAAACATAATCTCTTCTCATATGTGTTATCTCAAATAAACTAAACACTAAAGTGTGCATCCCCTCTAAAGTATTAATTGCAGCTCTAGTGAAGTAAAGTCAGGTGTTCTTATTGCTTCATGCATTAAAAGTATGGCTACCCATCCCCCAAATTGCATATAGCCCCTCAAATGCTATTTATAACTCTGCTCACAGTAAAAAAAAAAAAAAAAAAAAAAAAAACAAATAAAATTAATCAAAACAAATAAAATAAAATAAAAAGATAAAATAAATGGTGAAGTTTTAGTCCCTGGGCCTGATATTGAATCGCCATAAGCTCATTAACACTATACGTCTTCATCGTTATTGCTTATATTGAAAGAAACCATCATTTGCTTTAAACATTTGCTCCTAAAATGTTATAATTTCCCCTAAATTGGATTTTGTTGATGCAACTGTACCATTCCCAAAAGTTAAAGTTTCAACTTGTTGTCCCTTTAATAATATTATGCTAATTAACAACTGACCAAACTATTTATCAAAAAACCCAGTCTAATTTATCACATAGTAAAACATCTCTAAATCCTCTTTTTTATTCCTCTATGTAAGAATACCCCACCCCCTGATGATATAAAGAAAATTTAGCATAGTTTTTCATTGTGAATAAGAAATCTGGTGTGTCAGTTCACTTATCTTTTTTTTTTTTCTTCATCCGTCTTGTCCGATGATCCCATGACCTTCCATCAACCCATCACTGCCAGTGTTCTTTTCTCATCTGAAGCAGTGGGCATCCAGTCATTTCCTTAATGTTCGCATCTCAGCAGCTGCAAACCATCCCTCCTTCTGAAGTTTAGGAGCAAAGTTAGTCTCTGTGCCCCTTGTAGGTTAATCCATCCTGCGACTCAAGAAAGAAAGTGTCCAATGTCTCTTCAAACAAAAAAGATCCATTGTTCATTTTGAAACATTTCCATCCGTAGTGTAGTCAAAACTATTCAAACAAAATGAACATGCGTGCCACGTCATTTTTTCTTTTTTTTTTTTTTTTTTCATAAAGGCTAAGATGTTAGTAAACAAACAAAAAACAGAAAACAAACAAACATACAGACACAAACAACGACAAACATGTAAGACAACAAAAAAAAAACCCAGTGGTGCCTCCGACTTCTCCAAATAGTTGTTGGTTCATCTTGTCATTCGTTAAATGCCTCTTTCAGCATGACTGCTCTTAATGTTCCACCCCAACAAAAGTCTGTGAGCTTCAAACCACCACATCCATCTCTTCCTCATAGGTCATATCAGAACCAGAGAGGAATTAAAACAAACTCAGAGCTCACCAGAATGGCCTTCAGCCGGGAACAAAACATGCAGCCACAATCTCTACACCCTGTCTCTGGCATGCTGCGTTCTCACACCATCTCTCTCATGTCCTAATCCATGGTTCCGATCCAGTCCAGTTGCTAACCAAGTCAGTCCAGTCAGTTCGAACCTATTCAAATCCTCCTATCAAAAAGTTTTCAACTATCTGAACCCCCCTCTCTCTCTTGCTCTAGTCACTCTCAGCCAAGTTGTCCCTTTCACATGCCAGAACTTCTGCAGCTGTTGGGAAAATAAGGGTTAATGCACATCTTAAACAAAACACAATGAAGGATGAGACTTTTGTCAGCCTGTCCTGGAAGAAAAAATGTTAACATTTAAGGATTGTAACAAACACATCCTGAAAAAGAAAAAAGGAACATGTTTAAGCAAAACGATCTCCTGATCCTCCTTAAATGGGCCTCTGAATAATCATGCCTGCTCCCTGACAGCCGCACTGTCACTCTCTACAAGCAGGGAAAAAGCAAATGACCCCTCTGGTTTGTTACCAGGAAAAAGCAATCAAAAAGTTCATCAATTAGTCAATAGTTAATCACTTCATTCACAGAAATTTGTAAAGTTAGCGGAATTTAACAAGTCATGCAAAGAAGGTAAGGCCCAGATGAACAGTGAAAAGTGTTAGTAATGATTAGAGATTGAAATCAATCAGTTCGTGCCTAGGCAGTTTCCAAACGGCATTATACACAGATAAAAATAATTATGGATAAAAACTGAAGGCTGAAAAAACCCAGGGTCAGATCACACCGAAATTGTTCTTAACTCTCCAGCCTTGTTTATAAAAGTTGACCCCGCTAATCTGCTGAGTTCCTGCGGGTATCTTGGCCATATGCTGTGTCCAGTTCCAGCTCGAAGTGTGATTTATCCTGTCCCTAATCAATCTCTAATAAAATCCTAATGAAAGAAAAATGAAACTAATCAATCTCTAATGCAATTCTAATGATTGAAAAAGAAACCACCTTTAAATTAAAATCATGTAATGCCTTTGTCTGAGATTTTAGTTTCCCAAAAAGTAAAAACACCCATTCTGCTTCTTTCTGGATAATTACTTATATATTTAATTATTTTTCTAATCTATAATCTATTAATCTACAGTATCTCAGCTGCACTCCACACCCAAAAATTACCTCACACCCAAAACAGCAACCCGCTCTGGTCTTGTCAGGGCCTCTCATAGGTGGGGCCCCTGAGCAACATGTTTGATACGATTACCCTTCTGTTATGCCCCCAGTGCTCCTTCTCAATCCTGTAAAAATGCAAATCATGTTAATGTCACATCAAAAAATATTCTTAATCATTCCCAACTTGACCACACACATTCTACCTCACATGCATTCCACATTTAGGACAGACAGACAGACATTGGCCACATAAAGTTTGTTTAATCCATCAGTATCAATTTAGATTTATCTTCTTAGAGGATTTTCCCCAATTTAAACAAAAAGTCATAATCTTTTCACCAGTCCGGTCTTAAGACCTCTGCGCCAGTGCTTTTCAGCCTCATTTTAGGATCCTTGTTAAACTATATGTGCACATTTATGGAAACCTAAGATTTATTTGCTCACATTAGACACCAAAATAAGTTTTCACACCCAATGATTTTTAATTCTAAGCGTCCCCCAAAAATGACATGTTTGAATTTTCAAATATGAGAACACCTCTAAGGGGTTCTGAAAAAGTGGTATGTTTTGTTTTTCTCCTGAAAATCCCATTACCCGTGTAGTTTTTTGGCAGGTGGGCACATAAAGATTCATGGGGCTGTATCTGGCCCCCGTATTAACCATAAAAGGACAGTTGCTGCCCTCAATCAAAATATCTATCACTGCTGCTGGAAATTTCTCAAAAACTACCTCCATAACTAAACAAATAGTGGGATCCCGGCCTCCCTAGTGTTGCTGGGGGTGGGGCGGCTTGCGGCACTGGCCTCTCTGTCCCTCTCTCAGTTCACTCCTCTGGGACTGCGAACGGTGTGTAGGATAACCGTTTTGACACCACTTTGCTCTATGTCCCATTCGTCCGCAGACCCAGCAAGTGATATACCTGTCGTTTTGATCGTATCCTCTGCCCCTCTCTCTGCCACGTCCCCCAGCAAACGCTGCTGCCTGTGCGTATTGGTACATCTGGTAGTCCTCCTCCGCGTGCATGCTGGCAAGAGTCATACATTCAGGGTTAGTCATATTTGTCTGGGTATTTTTATTCTGTGATTTTTTTGCTTGATTTACTCTTTCCCGTTCCTTTATAAGAATACAGTCTGTTTCATTTGGGTAGGTAGCTCTTAGGGCTGCCCAAAATTGGTCTGACACTGGGGCTGCTTTTGTAGGATCTGGAAATTTGTATCTAAATGAGGCACTATCAGTAGATGTTAGGGGGTTGTAGCTGACCGTCTGTACTCTACCTGCATCGTTATATGTCTGAACTAATGGCATCTGGACTACCATCTCCCTGTCACTTCTATTATTCTCCTTACTCAGGTCATATTTGCTTCCAGCGGGGTCAAGCGGCTGTGAGTAGGCAAGCTTGTTCTGTGCTATTCTTATGGCATCTTTGACTAGTTCCACAGCTCTATCAATCCTGTCATTTATCATCAAAAGGCACTGATCCTCTGTGTGCGGTTGTCCCATGTTCGTAGCTCCCTCCTGTCCCCCATAGCAAAACTGTTCCTCATGTTTAACCACCCCTTGTCTGTCCGTTACTTTATTTAACTGCATCTGTTTTTCCGCCAGCTGTTGATCCATCTCCTGCAGTTGTAGTTGCAATTCTAATCTTCTCCTTTCCATTTGTATCATATCTTCCTCATTGCTATCCGTATGTGGCTTCCTCTGCTCATCTCTCCCTCTCAGACTGTCAGCTGCCCCTAGACTGTGCCCTTCATGTTCTGTGCCCATGCTATCAATTGTTGACAGTCGCTGAAATGCTTTATTTACCGCCTCCTTTATTAAATCTTGCATCTGAAACTCTTTTCGTACCTCTTGTCCAAATTCTTCCTCTGTAGGCCTTATTTCACAATTTATCTGACCCTCACGCAACTCCATAACAGGCATCTGCACACATGGGTTTGATGGAATCATTGCATCACCAACCTTACGAAACATTTCTCTGACACTTTGGTGTGGACTGGGGTCCATAATAGGCTCTGTTTCTGCAATATTAGATGTACTCATGAAAGGTTTTTCTTACCCTCTGAAGTGTCGAGTGCCTGCTCACCTCCCTGAGCCCCGTTTTGCTCCACCTGTTTCTGTTCAGAATCCTTGTCAGAAAAATAGTTACTAAAATTGAACTTGGTTTGTCTAATCAGATCCAAAAGTTTTGTTTCTTCCTTCTGGTGCTAACGAGGTATTTCTGGATTCAATTTTCTAGTCCACATGCATCCATCTTTCACACCTTTTGTTCACACAGTGTATAAAATTGGACCTCGACGTCTTACGTGAGGTCCCTCGGTGCTCTAAACTTTTTACCTATAAGCTACAGTGAGCCGCTTCTCTGCTAAGGAAGTGCGTCCGTCAAAGAAATACGTCCGTCAGTGAAAAGGAAAAAAAGAAAGGAAATTTAGAGAAAAGAAAAAAGATTTAGATATAGTTCCGCCTAGTTCACTCCACCAATTATGGAATTAGACAAACAAGTTGCCTAATTCGGGCTTCGGCCTAATATGTTTTATGGGGATTATTTTATCGTTTCTCTCTTTCCTTTTATAAGAGAAGAGAAGGAAAGAGAAAAAATGCCCCCAACGGTCCGTTTCACCCTGACCCCCGCCACCAGTCTCGGTTTTTCGTAAATGTCCTTATGGGAGGTATACTGGCAAACTCTAGCCGGCTATGTGACTGGTTGTCTGTGCGTCTGTTTTCAGAAGTGCATCTTTCGTGTCTGCAGGCAGACCGGGAATAAAATCACCGTCCCTTTCTGCATGCAGAAACCGTTGGGCTTTCCAACCAACTTATCCTAGTGAATAGTATAGTTCTTGAAGACGTTTGCGCAGTCGCCTTCAGTCGGACTTTCAACCGCTACCCACAGCAGAACTCACGACTTTCTTCCTCTCTCTCTCTCGACTTTCTTCCTCTCTCTCTCCTTTTTTTTCTTTTTTTTTTTATGTGTACACGTTCGCAATGTAAAAAATTAAAAACCAACAAATACAACAAAACAAAAACCGCAAAAACAAAAAACTAAAATCACTCTGAGCAATTTCTCTGTCCTCTTTTGCATAAAAAGCTTCAGCTCACTTCAGAAAATCACAACACAGCCAAAGTGTTTTAACAGTAAAAACACTGGAGATATTTTGTAATAAGGAATCTCCTCACCTTATCAGTTGTTTCGGCCGCAGGCTGTGGAGCTTTTTCCATCGGTGGCTCTGTTGTTTTGCTTCCAGGTCACGGGCGGAAACACCAATTTGTTAAAGTGAGGAAGATTTGTCCCCTTCAAAGTAAGGGCGGTAGCGCCCCGGGGCCTCCTCACACGGTTCTTTTCCTGGGAGCAAGTTATTTACTACTCTTAACTCAAACTCGTTAAAACCATATAAAAAGGACTATAAAAACAGGAGTAAAAAAGTAACAGAGTTTATTCCAAATCAGGTCGTTACAGGACAGAGAAAAATGCTTCGAGCTATGCACAGCTGTGGTCTCAAAAATCACGTCCGCAAGCGTCCGGCAAAGTTTGAGCCCCGATGAAGGTCATCCCCTGCTTCTTATACCTTGTGAGTCTATGTGTTGCATCATGTGGATGCTTAGCTGTCCGTATCAGAAACTGACACGCCATCCATGTCTTGAACTCCATGCAGGTTGCCTCTCTGTCTCAGGGTTACAGATACAGCAGCTCTCCTATCAGACCGGCTCCAAGATGTGCCCATATTCTGTGTACTCTTAGAGACACAAAGGCTGTCTTGATTAGATGACCTCCGTACACACCACGACATCCACAATGTGAAGGAAGGCCTTCTGCTCTGTCTAATCTGACTAACAAATTAACAGTGCACATGATGTATAAATAATAAAACCTAACAGAGTGAAAACCTCCTTCCATCAGCAAGGGCATTGAAGATGAAACATGGCTGGGTCTTTCAGCATGGCAATGATCCCAAACACACCGCCCGGGTAACGAAGGAGTGGCTTCGTAAGAAGCATTTCAAGGTCCTGGAGTGGCCTAGCCAGTCTCCAGATCTCAACCCCATAGAAAATCTTTGGAGGGAGTTGAAAGTCCGTGTTGCCCAGCGACAGCCCCAGAACATCACTGCTCTAGAGGAGATCTGCATGGAGGAATGGGCCAAAATACCAGCAACAGTGTGTGAAAACCTTGTGAAGACTTACAGAAAACGTTTGATCTCTGTCATTGCCAACAAAGGGTATATAACAAAGTATTGAGATGAACTTTTGTTATTGACCAAATACTTATTTTTCACCATATTTTGCAAATAAATTCTTTAAAAATTAGACAATGTGATTTTCTGGATTTTTTTTTCTTATTTTGTCTCTCATAGTTGAGGTATATCTATGATGAAAAATACCTGCCTCTCTCATCTTTTTAAGTGGGAGAACTTGCACTATTGGTGGCTGACTAAATACTTTTTTGCCCCACTGTATCAACAATGAGGCATTAAGATTTCATGTCTTTGTTGCGAACCACGTCCAGCTGATTAGGCAGATTACAGATGCTAAGCAGAGGCACTATATTGACACAGCTCAAAATCCAGCAGATCATGCTTTCAAAGGCCTTAGTGCATAGGAAATCATGAAAACTTGCTGGTTGTCTGGCCCCAAATTTCTGTGGGAACAAGAGATTTCCTTCCCAGCCACCCACTTAGCTGCTCAGGTGCTGGTGGGAGATCCTGAAGTTAAAGTAGTCAAAACCTTAACAACTCAAACAAGCGAGCAAGACATCACCCTCAGTTGTTTTGGAAGGTTTGTGAGCTGGTCTATGCTACTTAAAGTGGTTGCAAGAATAAAAAGACTGAAAAATATATCCCAGCATGGTAATGGTATTACAGTGGATGAATGTAAAAGAGCTGCTGATATAGTAATACAACTTCTCCAGCAGCAAGCCTTTCATCAGGAGCTAAAGTTGCTGAACACAGATGAAAGCTTTTCAAGCTCTAGCCCTCTTTTCCTGCTGGATCCCATTCTAGATCATGGACTTCTCAGAGTTGGCGGAAGACTGAAAAACTAAATGCTTTGCAAAGAACTGAAAAACCCAATTATCCTCCCGAAAGATCATCATATTACAACATTGATCATAACTCACTTTCATGAAAAGATTTGTGATCAAGGCAGAAGCCAGACACTCATGGAAATCAGAACAAATGGGTTTTGGGTGATTGGTGGGAGCAAGCAAATTGCAAAGCTAATAAGCAAATGCGTGCAATTTCATCAATATCAATATCATCAAAGGACAAAATAAAGTTCTAAGTGAACTGCGTCTCATGGTGCTACAAAATAGAATGGTTCTGGACATGTTAACTGCTAGTCAAGGTGGTGTTTGTATTTTGATTGGAACTACCTGTTGTACTTACATATCTACACTCACTGGCCACTTTATTAGGTACCCCATGCTAGTAACGGGTTGGACCCCCTTTTGCCTTCAGAACTGCCTCAATTCTTCGTGGCAGAGATTCAACAAGGTGCTGGAAGCATTCCTCAGGGAGTTTGGTCCATATTGACATGATGGCATCACACAGTTGCCGCAGATTTGTCGGCTACACATCCATGATGCGAATCTCCTGTTCCACCACATCCCAAAGATGCTCTATTGGATTGAGATCTGGTGACTGTGGAGGCCATTTGAGTACAGTGAACTCATTGTCATGTTCAAGAAACCAGTCTGAGATGATTCCAGCTTTATGACATGGCGCATTATCCTGCTGAAAGTAGCCATCAGAAGTTAGGTACATTCTGGTCATAAAGGGATGGACATGGTCAGCAACAATACTCAGGTAGGCTGTGGCGTTGCAACAATGCTCAATTGGTACCAAGGGGCCCAAAGAGTGCCAAGAAAATATTCCCCACACCATGATACCACCACCACCAGCCTGAACCGTTGATACAAGGCAGGATGGATCCATGCTTTCATATTGTAGACGCCAAATTCTGACCCTACCATCCGAATGTCGCAGCAGAAATCGAGACTCATCAGACCAGGCAACGTTTTTCCAATCTTCTATTGTCCAATTTCGATGAGCTTGTGCAAATTGTAGCCTCAGTTTCCTGTTCTTAGCTGAAAGGCGTGGCACCCGGTGTGGTCTTCTGCTGCTGTAGCCCATCTGCCTCAAAGTTCGACGTACTGTGCGTTCAGAGATGCTCTTCTGCCCACCTTGGTTGGAACGGGTGGTTTTTTGAGTCACTGTTGCCCTTCTATCAGCTCGAACCAGTCTGGCCATTCTCCTCTGACCTCTGGCATCAACAAGGCATTTCCGCCCACAGAACTGCCTCTCACTGGATGTTTTTTCTTTTTTGGACCACTCTCTGTAAACCCTAGAGATGGTTGTGCGTGAAAATCCCAGTAGATCAGCAGTTTCTGAAATACTCAGACCAGCCCTTCTGGCACCAACAATCATGCCACGTTCAAAGTCACTCAAATAACCTTTCTTCCCCATACTGATGCTCGGTTTGAACTGCAGGAGATTGTCTTGACCATGTCTACTTGCCTAAATGCACTGAGTTGCCGCCATGTGATTGGCTGCTTAGAAATTAAGTGTTAACGAGCAGTTGGACAGGTGTACCTAATAAAGTGGTCGGTGAGTGTAATGAAAATGAAACTCATATTGAAGATGCTATGAATGCTCTTATCGGTCTGCAGAGAGCCATGAGTGGTGATAATCAGGGTACTCAGTGGGACTTTTGGACATGGCTAACCACAGGTCCATGGTGGCACTGGATTCTTAAAATCCTAAGCCCAATTATTGTGATTCTCATATTGTACTGCCTTTTTGCTATGTGTGTGTTTCCATGCATTAAGTCAAATGTTAATAGAGTTATAGGAAATGCTATGCGTCAATTCCAGTTGCTACGTGATGCTGAACCTCTGGAGCAAGAAACAGCTTTTTTTTTTTATAAAATAAAATAAAAGGGGTAACGGAGTGACGGACCCACCGAAAATGCAAAAAGCAAGTGGTGGAAATCCTGAAGTAAGATGTGTTACCTCTTATGAATAAAATGTAAAAGAGGAGGGAGATGTTTGAGTTATTATGATTTCTGTTGTTTTTATCATTTTATTCATGTATATGTTTTATATTGCTCTCAATCATTTGTTTTTCTATATGTTACTCTCATCATTGGAAATAGTATATGAAGGCCATAAGACGGTCAAATGTTTTGCAAGAATGCTTTCCTGTTTTTCATTTGAGAAGCAGAGAAGTGAAAAGTCATAACCCCGACACTTGGTATAAAGCGTATGCTGAAACCAGGCAAGTTCCCTATCTTAAAAGTTCATGCTATGTCTAAGAGATTGCGTAATCGAAACTAATGCCTGCTGTTGTAATGTGTTGACTGCTCAATAATAAGCCTGGCAAGTGTTGAGCCAAGCGGTGATGCAGAGATTGATACTGTGCTCCCCTTTGCAAAGCATTTCAGGAAAAATCCCACAATGTCTTTGTTTAATTTTTTATAGGTTAAAGTTGGGGAAACTTAAAGGAATAGTACACCCAAAACATGATTAGCCTTCATTTTCTACTCACCCCCATGCTGAACAAAACTCTGGAGTACTTTTTTGATATCTCAAATGCATCTGGAGATCTGGGAGGCTTCTTGCTGTCTGCTGACATTCAAATAATGGAGGTCTATGGCGCCCGAGACAGAAAGGTCCACAAAAGTCCACAAAAACTTGTCAATATTCCTCCATACTGCTCGTCCAATGTAATCCAAGTATCCTGAGTGGGTAGCATCCAGAATTTACTCGAAACGAAGTCATTTAGAACGTTTTAGAGCCTAAACAGTAGTGTATAGGATTTCCTAATAGCGCCCCCATGCGCGCTCACGATTCTACGGAAGCCGGCAGACCAAACCAGCGCATTCAGCTCGGCAAAGAACTCATGCTCTTCCTCAACACTGAAGTCCTCAGACATTCTTCTTTCGTTGTTTCTTTCTTTGCACAGGTAAACAGCACATTTCTTCTTCTACGCTTGCATTATCGGCAGACCAGACGCTGAATGCGCACCTTCTTCCGGTTTGGTCTGCCGGCTTCCGTAGAATCGTGAGCGCGCATGGGGGCGCTATTAGGAAATCCTATACACTACTGTTTATGCTCTAAAAACATTCTAAATGACTTCGTTTCGAGTAAATTCTGGATGCTACCCACTCAGGACACTTGGATTACATTGGACGAGCAGTATGGAGGAATATTGACACGTTTTTGTGGACTTTTATGGACCTTTCTGTCTCGGGCGCT